CCTGTTTATGTTTGCCAAAGTGTATTATTATTATCTATTTTATTATAGAGTGGCCTATGAAGTATTCACTCATATCTTCATGTTTCTCAAATACATCCCTTTTAAAAATGTAAATAAATATATTTAAAATTCTTTGGAATTATTTTTTCCAAAATTATACTTTGGGGATCTTTTAGGATTTAAGCCTTTAGGAATTTTCATCTTTTTGGAATGTCAACATTCATTTCTTTGTCTTTTGGGATTTGGGTCCAAAACTGATTCATATAAATAACATGTGAATGCATAAAATTATTTTCAAAAGATCTTTCAGGGAGCTTCCTGAACATTGTTTTTCTTGCACTGGTGTAGCTTGAGTATTTGTTTCCAGAGCATTAAACAGCAAGGGTCCTAATTTAACAAATAGTCACTTTATGTTTAGGGATTTGGTGAAGTCAAGAGACAGTGTCTCCATCCCTGTTTCTTAGAAATCTAAGTTTAAAAGGAAGACCATGAAAATCTCTGCTATTTTAACATTTTTAGTAGGCCATTAAGTATGCTCTGCAAACAAAACACCCAAGCTTCCAGGAGAAGCAAGGCAAAGCTCAGGGACCTTACGCCATGAGTCAGCCTCTTGAAGTCACCTTCTCAGTGCCACAGATGGAGGCTGATGAATCTGCACCCAACAGAGATAGTGCAATGGGGGAAGTAGGTGTAGTTCTGGTCCAGACCTACTGGTATAGATCTGCACTTTGGCCAGTGGATATTCAATCCTATGTCACTCCCTTTGGTCTCCCAAGTCTGTTGGCTTACAGATTTGGAGTTTGTAAGGCAAACAATTGAATGCTTATGGTTATCAAATTACCGTCAACATAGATCCTTTTCAAACTCTAGTCAACAGTATTATTTTATTAAGGAGTGGTCACTGGAGGTGGAATAAAATCCAAGCTCACACCATGACCTGTGTGACCACATGTGCTTTACTTCCTGCCCACCTGCTCAAAACCCATCTTCGATTATGTTTCTTCCATTCTTTCCTACCCATGTGTCCTACCACACTGGCCCTTATTCTCTTCAAATAGCTAAGCCCATTTTCATTCAGGGTCTTTGCTGTTGCTATTTACTCTGTCTGGTACATTTTTCAAGTAAATTATGTAATTAACTTTTCATCTTACTGCATGCATTATTTTTGAAACAATAACTTTGCTAGCTTTTTCAGGCAAGTGTGGCTTTAATTCATTAAAACTTCCTGGAGTTTCCTCAGCTAGAAGAAATGGCAATGCATACAAATGACAAATTCTAAAACCAAAGATTTTGTCATTGACATAGGCAAAAAAGGAATGGACAATCCCGTTCTCAGAGTTTGGCTTTCTATTCCTTTTTATGCAGCTCCCCCCCAGCACACACACACACACATTTTTCCCCATGGGAATTATGGTCTTGGGGATTTGGGGCTTTCAGGATTTATCATTTGGGATTTTAATCTTTCAGGATTGTGATTTTTGGGATTTTAGTCTTTAGGGATTTTAGACTTTATAGATTTTGATCTTTCAGGATTTCAACATTTAGGATTACAGCATTTGGGATTCTATCTTTTGGCATTATGATTGGCACCAGCATGGATCATTTATGGGACAACTGATCTTCAGGAACTAAGGGGAAAAATTGAGGTAGCTTGGCTTTATTGTTACATATAAATGTTGAAAGAGTTCATTCATTCTTTCAGAATTTTTTTTTAGCACTCACTATGTATTAGGATCTGTACTAGATTCTGGGAATTTAACAGTAAATAGGATAAACTCTGTGCTATTAAGGAGTTTATACTCTATCAATAACAACATTCAATGCTTATATTCAATACCCAGTACATTGACTCATTCAGTAGGGAAGCTGGACCAATAAAGAAGTTAACATACAAGAGATAATAATAATTGCTGTAAAGAAAAATAAAGAAGGGCATGGTACAGAAATGAATAAAACCTGAACATGTTTATGTTCCAATCCTCAGATCCTGTGATATGTTATTTTATATGGCAAAAGGGACTTTGCAAATGTAATTGAGTTAAGGATATTCATGTAGACCTAATGTAATCACAGGATATCAGAGGGAGAGAGAATGGCCAAAGTCAAATGTCAAAGAAAAAGAGAACTAAGGACAGAAACAAAGAGGACAGAACGTGATTAATAGGTGGCTTTGAAGATGGAGAAAGGGGCTATGAGCAAAGAAACACAGATGATCTCTAGAAGCTGGAAGGAGTGCATTCTCCCCTGGAGCCTCCAGAAGGAATGCCTCTTGGCTGACACCTTGATTTTACTCCAGTGAAGTTGATTTGGATTTCTGACCTCCAGGAATATAAGATAATATGATTTTTTAAGCACTGAGTTTGTTGTAATCCATTTACAGCAGCAGAAACCCAATACACAGTGTTATAGAAGGTAAATTATTGGGGTTACTCAGAAATGGCCTCTTGAGGAGGTGACATTAAGCAGAAAAGTGTGCAAAGTGGGGAGTAAGACATTTGGCTGGCTATGGGAGTGGGCAGAGGGAGCATTCCAGCCAACGGGAACAGCAAGAGATAATACTCCAAGAAGGAAGTATGCTCAGTGTGTCTGAGTACCAGAATGAACAAGAGGAAGAAGTTAGTAGATACCTTAGGGAGGTAGCTGGAGGCTAGATCATGTAGAACTTTGTAGTTTTGCTAAGCATTTTGATTATATTCCAAGAGTGATGAGAAGTCACTGGAAGGTTATAAGCAGGAAGTGACATGCTCTTGTCACTATTAAAGACATGATATAAATGCTAAGTGGAAAATAGATTCTGAGCTGGAAGTATCAATACACCTGAGAGGTGCAGAACCATAGGCTAAGATGAGAGGGGGATGAAAAGAGTATATATTGAAGATGAAGTGGACCAGATTTGCTAGTTGATTGGAAGTGATATATAAGACAAAGTGGGAGATAAGAATGATATCAGAGAGTCTGATAACACTATTTGCTGATTCAAAATATTCTGGGACTATGATGGAAAATCATGAATTTTGTTTTAGATGCTATTGGATAAGTCAGTAGGGGTGTCAGGTTGGCAGTTGGACATAATATCTGGAGTTCAGGAGATTAAATTGGATGGATGCTATCTCTTTTGCAGCATAGGTAGTGTATAAAGCATGGAACTGATGTGTGTAGATAGATCTTGAGCACAGAGCTCTGGAGCATTGCATTTTAGTTCCCTGGAAGAGGGCATCTCATCTATGGGGGAAAAAAAATGGAACATGGTCCTTATTACTTCCATATTTAAGGCAATTCAATGCCAATGTTTTTGACTTCTGGCCTGACGGAAGCTTGAAAAATGGCAACTTGGCCCTGTGCAAAGGTCTTAAGAAGTAGTCATTGCCTTGGCCTATTTGCCCTGGCTCTCAGTGAGCTTTTAAAATGCCAGTGAGCTCTAATCCTGTTGATTGACCCACAGCTGTGAATACAAGTTGCTGACTCCAGAAGTGCAGCTCATTCTGGAAAGGGCACCATTCCTTTCCCCCTAAGGACTGCTGAGAGAGCCACCTGAAGTCTGCATAGGCTTAGCAGCAGCTGCACTTCTACTCAATCAGATCAAACTGAAGTTCTTTTTTTGCTTCCTGAGGAACCCTGGGTATTTGTTTTTAGAACACTGAACAGTAAGAATCCTCGCTTCACTGACACACAAATGCTTTATGTTTGAAAAGGATTTGGCTAGGCCTATGTCTTACTAGAATGGCTGGAAAAACTCCTGTTACGGTTAGGTCTTCTTTCGTCTTCTTTCTTGATTTGCTGTTTGATGGTGAGGACAAGAAGAGAAGTGGCTGCCTGTCTAATGGAATTATTTTGGCACTAGCACACCAGTCCTAGATTCACAACTCTCTTTAACTCCTGAATTTTTCTTAGAATTATAATGACCCTATATAAAGCCTCCTGCTTTACCTCCCTGTCTGCCCCTCCACTGGGGACTAACTTTCTCCCTGCATGCTTCCCCACCACAAATTACTCCCTGTGTTGTTACATTTCTTAAAGCAGTTATTCTCAGCCTTTGCTAAATACTGGAATTACCTGGGGAACTTTAAAAAATCCTGAAGTCTGGGTCCTATCCCCAGAGATTTCAACTTAATTGTCTTCCAGTATGGCCCAGACAATTGGATTCTTAAAAGCTCCCTAGGTGACGCACATACAGCCAGAATTGAGAACCACAGGCCTCCAGACTCTATGTTTTCTAGATTAACCACCACCACCACCACCACCACCACAAAAATCGAATTTTAGGAACTCAAACTATGAAGATTAAAAGTGAAGGCCCCAGGGATCCTCCTCTTTTACAGATGACATTACTGAACAGCAGTAGCCTTTTGGAGAACAAATGATGCTGCTTGTAATCTCTACAGTACTGCCAGATCCAAACAAAGGCAAGAGTGCAGAGAAGGTAATATCTTGGGAAAAGTATGACCCTATAGGCTAACAGCATGGGGACACCTTCCTTTAAAACTAAATTTGTCAGAAGCAAATTTGTGTATGCAAACCAGAAGTTTCAGGAGATGAGTTCCCACTCTGTCCCAACTGTCTACAGACCATCTCTCCTAGGCATGCAAAAGGAGTCATCAAGTAGCACCTCTGCTCTTCAGGAAGCTCACTGGAAAGGAGGTGGACAGAGCCTTCCACGCTTCCAACTCAAAATGTGCACTATGGCCAGCAGCCCTCATCTTCATCTAGTAGCTTCTTAGAACTTTAGTATTTGCTGGGGCTGGGGTTGTGGCTCAGTAGTAGAGTGCTCGCCTAGAAATTTAGTATTTGGGGCCCCCTTCCAGACCTACTCAGTAAGAATCTGCATTTTAACAAGATGCCCATGCAATATGCAATTCAAAGTTTGAGGAGCATTGGTTCATAGGACTCCAGGTAATGCAACGCGCCTAATTCTTTCGAACATCCAAGGCCCAAATGGAGGCTGTCACTTATTTCTCCTCCCGGAGTGGGTAGTCTTGTGGTGAGTGGTGGAGAAGCTTGGCAGCGCAAGGTGCAGACGAGGTCCAGGGCGGTTCCTCCCGCGCCACGCCTCACTCCTGGGTCTCAGCGGGACGCGCCGTTGCTGTGGCAGCGCCTGACGCAGCAAGAGCAGTGGCTGCTGTGGCCTCCTTCTCTTTCTCCAAAAGCCTCCCCGGACCCCAAACTCGGGCCCAGCCTAGGCTCCTCCATGCCACGGAGGAGACGCCACAGCCGGGTGAGCGCCCAGGAGGGCGGCCGGGAGGAAGAGGCGCCCCCAGAAGTGGCAGCCTTGCTCTCAGCGCAGTCGCAGTCCCCACAGAAGTTCCAAGAGACCGCCGATCCGGTTTTGCTCCGGGGCATCTTCGAGATCCGGAGGGGCAGCTGCGACGTGGTACTGAGCCAACGGGCCCTGAAGTGGCGGCCCATTCAGCCCGAGCGTCCGGCGGGTGAGTGCCAGTCCCGGTGCCACAGTCTCCCAGGCAGCATAGCTCGCGTGCTTCTACTCCGCCTCCTCTTCACTCCTCTCGCCTCCCCTCTCCTGCTGTGCCCCGGTTGGCTACAGTGTCCTCGACAGTGCCTCCTCCCTCCCAACTGGGGAAAAGTGTGCAACTCCCCTGTCTCCACCAGCTAAGCTTTCCCTTCCAGGGCACTTCCCGACAGACGTCACGTCACGCTCAGTTCCTGCAGAGCGCAGAGAAACTTGAACCCGCAAGGGGAGGTGATTTACAAGTGGTGGGGGGAGGTGATTAACAAGTGTGGGGGCAGGTGATTTACAAGGTGTTCACAAAGTGTCTATCACATGGGTTCTGAATCCAACTCTCATTTTAGTGTCTCATAACCCCAATATTTTGGGGTTCCTGGATTTGCCCACCGTCACATTCGTTGCCACTGTGGAGCTTGTTCAGGCTGTCTAGAAACTCGATCTGGGGCGTTAACTCAAAATCTGGTTTCCTTGGATTTGCCTTTACTCATTAAAAATTTTAGTGCTGTCATGCTGCAGTTTACAATAGAAATATTTCAAGTCTTAACCCAGAGACACACTCAGTAGAAAACGTTGGAATTTGATACATAAGCCTGTTTTAGTTAAGTAAAAAATTTTTAAAAATTGCCTTTCCCTATTGGTAAACTAGACATCATGGGCTGTTGATGTTATAGAAAGCAGCAGTCACCGTTCTAAAGTTTCTTGTTCAAAAGTCTAACAAAATGAAACCCTCTAGTTGGAACCCAGCATGGGTTATGGATGGGAATTCTGTATGTGCTGTCTGTCATGCCCCTTACTGAACTAAATCTATCTTTGACTTTGATTAAAATGTTTTCAGGTGTTTTGAAAACCAAAGTGATTTATTTTCTCCAACCTTTGAAATTAAAAGCCAGCAAGATGATTATGGAATTATTCTGTGAGTCTTTAAGTTAGCTTAAGTTATGTGATATAGAAGTTTATAATCAGAACCCTAAGAGCCAATTTAACCTACAATAAAGCTAAAATACTATAGAATTAGAATTAGACATTGTGTGATGAGAAACCATACAAATCAATGTTTCAGTGCTGGTACATGGAAAAGCAAATAATGACATGAAAAAAGAAATGTCATTTTATATTGAGTGGTGATTGAGGAAAAGTAGGTTTAATTAGCTCTCCTGGTAATGGAGTTTAAAAAGACAACTTGACAGTTTCATAACTCTAAAGGTTCCAATACTGATTCTTTAATTTCACCCGAAAACCTTTTGGTTTTCTTTCCTTTACATGAGTGTACTACTTTTTCTTTGTAATTAATGCCTGGCTTTTAAACCACTCTGGGCCTCTAAATTTGGAGCCACAGAAGTTGAATTAATTTAAACTGAACAATGAAAACTAATGAATGAATTTGATTGGAACTGGTGAATTTGGTCAGAAAATGGAAGAGAAAACATATCAAAGTTATGGTACTTGGGAGGACATGGAATGATAGGATAAGGTGGGGGAGACCATGTCCATTGATGGTTGATGGGTGACTTGCTGTCCCAGGAAAGTATAGGATGAAGATGTAGAAAGGTCTCTGGGCATTATTAGATCAAACATATGGAATATTTTAAGACCACCCAGTTTTAAACCTCATAGTGTCTTAGTTGTTTTCACTGAGATAAGATACCATGCAATCTTTCCCGGATTTCCTATCTTGAGCAATGTGAGCAAAGACACTGAAGTGTTTTATGAGGGCTATCACGGCCAACATTGTGACTAATTGATGGTGTTGCTGGCAGAGTAAATGAGGATAACTATAGTGATTTATATGCTCTTTATTGGGTTCAAGGGTAACTTGGAATAATGACTGTTACCCTTCCTCACAGAAGTGAGGCTTGTGTGGAGAGCATAAGTCAAGGTGGGAGGTTCAGAACATTAGCACTCATCTTTGGTATTATTTTTTAATGGAAGCAATGTTTTTCATTGACTAGAACTATATTAGTTCTAGTCAATGAATATGTTAACCTAATCAGCAGTTACTCTATTAATGGATATTTTGGTACTTATGCTAAGGTGCTTTGCTAGATGCTGTGAAGATGAAAAATGACCTGGCATATTTTCCTTCAGGAAATTGTACTTTTCAGGAAAGACATGTGACTCCAATAAAACTCTGTGTCACCAAACATTAGGAAACTAATAACTTTTTTTGTTAAGTGATATAAAGATCCATAGGTTGTGGGCCCTGCCTCTAAGTACTTCAATGTGTTTAGAGGGGAGGAATATGTTTTTGACAGGACTCTGATCATGCAGAAACAATTTGCTGTTTAAGTCACTACTCTCCCCCTCAAAAAAATAGCTGAAAACTGTTTCATGAAGGGTTGTGGTTTTGTATTATTTTCCTAGGGTTGTAGTAACAAATCCGTACAAATTTGGTGGCTTAAAATGCAGGACTGTATTTTTTTTTTTATAGTTTTGGAGGCTACAAGTCACTTAAGATGTCATTAGGGAGCTGGGTGCAGCTTGGGTTAATGCTTGTTTGGCGTGTGTGAGGCCTGGTTTCCATGTGCATCCTCCTTCTGAAAGCTTGAGTGGGTCCTCCTTTGCATCCTTCAGTTCTGGTGGCTTCTGGTATTCCTCTGCTTGTGGCAGCAGAACTGTTGGCTGTGTCTTCACAAGGCCTTCCCCTCCTTCTCTGCATGCCCTATTTGTAAAGGCAGAAATTATTGAATTTAAGATTACCCTAAACCCAGAGTGATCTCATCTTAAAATCCTTAATTACACGGCAAAGATTTTCTTTCCCAATATGGTCATATTCTGATGTCCAGCTGCATTAGAGTTTTGGGAAACACTTTTCAATGTAGTAAAAAGATGTAATGGGTGTGGGAGAAAAATTTTAGGTTGAAGTAATAAAGGAAGAAAATAAAAGGCTGTCTTCTGGGAATAGTGACTGATAGAGCCTGTCAAAGTATAGGAGTAAGAGAATATTTCACAGGCAAATAGACACCTGAAGACACAAGTAAGAAGTTTGAGTTTTATTCGTAGGAAGTAACAAGTTTTCTCCTGGTTTTTCTTCTACATTTATTTAAAACTGTTATCTGACTTTGTTCCCTCTTTATCCCAATTCCTGTCATTGCTGATGGCCATTGCTCTCTGACCTTCTAGATCTCTTCCCTTTTGGTGACTTTCACCTTCATCCAATTTGCTACCTGGTTCCATCTTCCCTGGGACATGGATCAGCCCTCTGTGCAGCAATACCACTAGTCAACCTAGTAAGCATGGGTGACTGTCATCTCTCTTCAAAACCAGTCCATCCCATCTCTCCCACCTTTTCTAGGCAGTTGTCTCCTCTCTTGTGCTCTCCTTCTTAGGTCTGAAGCCTTTTTTCTCCTCTAGCTCTTTTATTTCCCATTTTGACGTTCCCTACCTTGATCTTCTAAATTCTCTAACTGATGCTCTGCCCCTTCTCACTTGCTTTGAAAAAAATGGTTTATTCTCACTGCCTCTTACCTATTTCTCTACCATCTGAGACCTGGCCTCCTTCAATCAAATGAGAAATTTCAGGTCCCACCTATTTGGATTTTTATTTCATTTAACTTTGACTTGGCTCCCTCAGTTCTGTGACACCAGGAACACCTCACTTATTGGTTTCAGATGGGATTTCTCTCTGTCTGCTTGTCAAATGTGGCATTACCAATGAACTTGGTTGGATCTGGTTAATTGTGTACTTTCTGATTTGTGTTGCCCAAAATTCTCAACTACCATTAGTTATCACCAGAAGCGCTCTAAATTTTGTATATCCATAAGAAAAACAACTTTTCTTGCTCTTGGTCTTGTTCCCTATCAAGAATATGGAAGTCAGTAATCAGTTGTCAGTATATTTAACTTTGTTTCTCAGGTTTATGTAAGTTGTGGTGGAATGTTTAGATGGAGAACAAGAATTTCTTATACCTTACATTGGAATCATGAGATTCCATATAGAAGTAATAAATACTTTGGCTTAATATGTAAAGGACTGTTTAGGCAGCTACCTGGAATCTAAATGAGGATTTCAAAGGTAATCCCAGCTTGGATGTCCCTCACTTATTACTTCAATCAATCATCAATCCTGCTTCTTCTGTTTGCTAAGTGTTTCTCACATATACCTTCCTTCTCTGTCCAGTCAGTCATAACCTTAGCTCAGGCTTTATGATCTCACTTGGGCTCCTCCTTTACCTCCCTTGAGCTTGTGCTTAAATGTTACCTTAAAAATGGTAACGTTTTGTCTTTTGCCTTTTGCCTCAGGTTGACAGGAAAACCTAAGAGGTTTTCCTGATGCCTATCTAAAATTCCCTCTTGCACATTTCCTGGTTCCTTTTACTGCCTTACATTATTTTGATGGCATTTAAACTCTCATATATGATATGATTTCTGTTGTCTGTCCTCCCCATGACCACCCACTTTAAGAGGACAGGATTTTTTTTCTATTATTGGCTGCCCTAATAACAAACAAATGGCATTTCATATTAGGGTGATTTGAAGAGTTTTTAAAAGGTAGTTCAGTATTTATTCTTCCCTTATCTGAGTTTTTTTTTTTTCATGGCTTCCGTTACTCACAAAAATACTAAATGGAGAATTCCATAAAAGATTCACAAGTTTTAAGTTGTGTGCTGTTTTGAGGAGTGTGATAAATCACGTGCCACCGGCTCCATCTTCCCTGGGACATGGATCATCCCTCTGTGCAGCATATCCCTGATGTTCATACTGTCTAGCCAGCAGTCACTCAGTAGCTGTCTTGGATATCAGGTTGATTAGTAGTATTCCAGTGCTTGTACATAGGGTTCAGGATTATCTGCAGTTTTAGGTATTTGCTGTGGATCTTGGAACATATTCCCCATGGGTAAAGGGGAATGACTGTATTTTTAAAGGTGTAGGAAGAATATGAGAATCTTGAAATACTCTTGGGACTAGTGATAAATGGGCAAGTAATACCATTTGTAGGCCCAAAATTGTAAACTGAGAGAGCAG